CGCTTTGGGGTACCCATCTCTTATCCGCTACTCCTCTCATACCACTGATGAAATTTGATGCAACTTTCACAGAATCTTTATTACACATTGCCATTGTGCACCTCCTATTTTACTTTTTGATCCGACACATATTTTGGGTTTCCCGGCCACAGGAAAACATGGACTTTTCACCAGTTATAACCATATGGGAGGCGGGGGGTATCATTTAGTGAGCTCATCGCTCACAGTACCTCTAGTTTTATTTTAAGTCTTTGGATTTTAGGGCACGTTTGGAGGCTCAAAGAGTTTCAAAGACATACAAGTAGTCTCCATCTTCGCATCTTGCTTATTTCATCATCTGCCATTTTGGGCCAGTTATATAAATTTTGTGATGTTGATCAAAATATATTTTAAAAAATCAATTCTTTAAGAGTCTTTCAATATATCTTCATTTTTTTAATATGTGTTAATATGTGTTAGGTGAATGTGTAGACACTGTTCTAAAATTTACTTGATGCCTAAAATTATAATTCCTACCATAAAACAGACAGGGAGTATTGGAGAGTAGGGTGAACATTTTTTCAATTAAGTGTGAAATAATTTTTCTGGCTGATACAAATGATACTAAATGCCTGTATATATTTGTATATTCTTGCCTTTTAATTGTTAAATTTTTTTTATTTCTTCAGGTTATTGTTTATTTCTTCCTCAAATGGACTTAACTTCTCCCATAGTTTTATTCATTACATCTGATGCATAAGCAACACAGGATGAAAAGCCAGGTTTCCCAAATTTGGAAACCCGATGGAAACATATGGGAATCGTGACATCAGTAGTTTCCATATAGTTTCCATTTTATGGAAACCACATAGTGGTTTCCACATAGATTCCCGACATGGAAACAATCAACCTGTGGTTTCCCGTAAGTTTCCCAAGATAGGAAACCATGGAAACATACCCCGGTGGTTTCCACATAGATTCCCGACATGGAAACAATCAACCTGTGGTTTCCCGTACGTTTCCCAAGATGGGAAACCGTGGAAACATGCCCCGGTGGTTTCCATGTAGATTCCCGATATGGAAACAACCAACCTGTGGTTTCCCGTAAGTTTCCCAAGATAGGAAACCATGTAAACATGCCTCAGTGGTTTCCATACAGATTCCCGACATGGAAGCCACCAATGTAGTTTTCCCCATGTTTCCCAGGCAGGGAAACTTTGAAAGTATATCTCAATACTAACCACCTACCTTTTATTTTACAAAAAATTAAATATTTAATTATGTTACCATATTTTTACCAATTATAGAAATATTTCAAAAGTGTTTACATGCTGTATCAAAATAATTAACTTCAAATAGTTAAAATAACTAGATGTGTATTTCTGTGTGATTAATTTAATATTTCAGCACCGTGAACGCAATTCAATTTTAATTTAATCTTATTGAACTGTATTTTATTTAATTTAATTTTGAATTTTATTTATCACATAAGTTTTGGTAAACTCGTATAGAATGCGTGAAGTTGAATAGAAAAAAGTAAGTGCACGCAGTTATGTAGAAATCAATTATTTCCGATCCCACTTTCTTGAAGCTGTCTATGATGAATGTTCCTTTGAAAAAATGGAAGAGCTAAGGAAGGGTACATTTAATGAAATTATTTACAGAAAAGGTTTACGAAAAAGATCGATTAAAAAGTAAATAAAGAAATATGTCAAGTTACGATTACTGATTAAGGACAGGTGAGACGTTCCTCAATAAAATAATTAAATTTTTTTTTTCAATATTTTGCAATTGACATTAAAGAATTATTTTTACATAATTACATGTTTTCACAAGACATCAAGGTACCTTACCAGGCATTTGTGTTAGATACCAGAGGTTGGCATTTCTTATATACCGGGGTAATCCGTCAGGAAAAAAATACTTCAGTTGGTTTGTCAAAATTACATTTTTAGTGTTTCAAGTTTTTAAATACAAGTTTAGAAAGTGATAAAGATTTTGTTTCAATATGAATTAATATATTAATATAAACTGGTCAGATAAGAATCATTCATCGAATTGGCTGGGGGTTGAGTATTATCATACTAGTATTTTACTATTAATAGTGAATATATATATATTTTTTTCTAAATTATTATTTTTATTATTGGGGATGGGTGGGTTGCTTTTCATTTTTTCCTTGAGACCCCCCCCCCCCCCCCCAAAAAAAACGCTTTTGAAAAAGTCACTATGGTCGGCCTGTGTAATTAGGGACACCTGTCCTCACGTGCCATTTCAGGTGGAGACACGTGTCGCGAAGACACCTGTCACTGTGTATTTTTTGTATATTCTATGTGAATTGAGACGGTTTTGTACCTAAAGGGAACAATAGGCTGTTGTCGAGCATGTACACACACAGTCTCCGTCCGAAAATTCCTTTGAATTAAGATGATGATTCGTGTTTCTTTTATCATTTAAAAAATTGTATATTCCATGAATAAAGTTATACAAGAGAACATATTTATAAAATAACCTTCATTTAAGAAGTTCAATGAAAGAACAAACTATTTAGAATTTTTATTTTAATTTTCATTACTGATTTAAAATAAAACTATCCTCTTTAGAAATTAAATAATTTTCTATAGGTATTGAATAGATCTTAATTCTCGTCGTGTATAATTATATTAAATCAGAATGACGTTAATAGATCAATGTGAAATCGAAACTGTATTTAATATTGTTGATGGGTTTTTGTGTGAAATTTGTAATCTAACGTACTACAAAGACATTTATTAGATAAATGTTTATAATATAATTCATCACATAAAACTTTTTTTTTTCTTTCCTTTTTTTGTTTAAATATGTACGCAGAACCCCGTGTAGTAAACGCCTGCACTTTTCGCATGAAATTACAGTGTAGGGTCCTAAATGCACATACATTATATTTAACAAACTTTAAAATTTTCAGCCATTTTTTTTTCTCAAAAGGCCATTGCTTTAGATAAAGAAAAGTCTATAATATTTTGCATGATTTTGTTTTCCTTAAGAACAATGGCTTTTAAAGTAGTACATGGTAAGGCAATCTATTAAAAGAATTAATTGTATAATTCATTCATTGTATAATTGTCACAATTGTATTTTTGTTCAGTTTTTGTTGATTTCATTCTATAAAGGTATAAAGTTTGTCAATACTTCAACAAACAGTTCTTTATCTATGTTGTACACTACTTTATTTTTATTCGCCGACATGCTACTCTTTTTAAAAAAAAAAACTTGGGTGACTAATAGACTCGATCTTCAGGCCTGTAGGAAAGTAATTTCCGTTAGAGTAATAAACTAACCGGGATTTTATTTTTACTAACATACCTTACCAGATTTCTTAACGAAAAAAAAACATTAAAGAAATACAGGGCGGGACCAGCTAAAGCTGTATGCATAAGTACAGTCCTGCACATCAACGAGTATAGATGACTTTCGACATAATCTTTCCCATGACTTCACTTATACCAATCACGACTAAAATACTGAATTAAAATACTGTTATATTTTCCTGCCTTTGATAAGAGTTTGTTTTGTTCCACCTAGAGATATAACTCTCCTAAGAAAAAGGTTTTCAACATTCTGATTCATTTAACAATTTTAAGTGTTAAAATGATGTGGGAAATTTTTTTTAGCTTTTTTTACGTGTTAAAATGATGTGGGAAATTTTTTTAGCTAAAGACCAAGGAGTTTAAAGTACAATGTACATGTAGCAATTAGAGAAAAGCCTAGCAGGTCCACCAGTAATATTGATAGCAGGTGCAAAATCTAATTAAACCCCGAAAAGGAGGGAGTTCAATTAGTAATTTAATCCCCCCCCCAAAAAAAAACACAACAATTTATTAGCAATGAATTCTTAATCACCGAACTTTTCAATCATTGAAATAAAAAAAAACTGTTCTTGATAATCATATTATAACTGTAGCTCATTTTCATGCCTTTTAGGATTCCTGTGGAAAGTTCACAATAAAAAAAATGTGCTTTTAAAAATTTAACATGTTTTGGTGTGACATTATAAATTCATAATCATACATGTAACAGTTAAAAGAAGCGGGGAGAGGGGGGGGGGTACTTTCAACAAGGACGGCCACTACCAACAACCAAGCCCCGAAACCCATATCCCGAAGGCAAATAAGTTGAGGTGTCAAGCAAGAAACAATTTTTTTCTGCTCTTGCATCATGTATTTAACCGCTTTTTTTCTACTGTGGCTACATATCATATCGGCAAAAATATTTAGGAGCCTCTCTTTTTATTCCATGAAAAGCGGAAAACTTAATTAAATTCTACTATAAGATCTCATAATCACACTTAATCATAGTGAATGTAAACAGTTTACATTTCCCATCCTGCATCGCTCTCTGGGCGCTTTATTTCATTGGTCAATTTCCCGAGGCGCCATTTTTGGAGGATCGAGAAGGGCGAAGAAGAAGGTGTAAGCAGCTGGTAAACATGGTAAATGTGAAAAGTTAAGATGGTTTCACCACCCAGTGTCTTTAAGACTGTGATAAATGCAATGGCCAACGATGAAGGATTAGTGTACGTATATTTTTGTTAATTTTTTACGGTAAATAGTTGTAATATTTGGCAACAACAAATCTTCACTATCGGAGGCAACTTTTGTTCTGACGCAATTTTGAAAAGTTGGATACCTAAGTTTAAATTGTTAAGTGTATATATTGCAGAGAGAGAGAGAGAGAGAGAGAGAGAGAGAGAGAGAGAGAAATTTGAGACAGTGATATAGCATAACTTAGATTATGGAGGCCCCAAAGGCACCGTGCATGTGCATGCTGTATGTTGTAAAATGGCAACGTTTCGCTTTTTATCATGTTTATTAAAATGTATGCTCCATATGTATGTTCTATCTGTATATATAAATGAATACTTTTCGGAAATAAAAAAAAATATTTTTAACCCCGCTCAAATTATCCGGATGATAATAGTTACACCGAGCATGGTTTCGTAGTTAAATTCAGACTGTAGAACATCCGGTTTGAATACATGTGTTTTCTAACTTTTCGGATAGCCAACTCTTGTTTTTTGGAACTTACGACTTATGGCAAGGTATAAATTAAATATTTTTGGTTCAAAACTTTGATAAAAGCATCGATATTTTTACAAAAAGTGTCCTCAATCTCAGCTTATCCGATTATTCATGAACCTCATCAGAACAGTTGGAATAGATTGTAGCGAATAGCCTTAATCATATGCATGACGATGATATGGAGGAAAAATATACATAAAAACGTGAATGTAGGTGAAAGCCTGTCCACTTTTCTGAAGAGATTAGGTTTGTTTAATGAAATAGTTTACTGCTCAAAAGTTTTTTTTTGTAATGTCTAACCTGTGGAGATGAAGATGTAAAAAAAGAAAAGCCTAATAGTGAATTAATATTGATAGTATGTCAAGAAATGCAAATGAATCATCAGCTTGAATTATCAGTTTTTTCACAATTATTGACCTGAGTAGGTCAATGTATATCAAATAATGCACAATAAAACTACTTACATACATGTACCGGTACACGGTATTGTCTTACTGAACAGATTTAGCTGTCATTAGGTCAAAATTGCAAATAATAACATGCTTCTTATATCTGTATATACATGTACAAGTAACTCTTGATGGCTTGAACTTCAATTTCTCGGAAGTTCTTGATCGCTTGAAGTGAGTCTCCGGTCCCGATTTTTTCCTCTATATAACTAAGCAGATTTGCTCTTGATTTCTCGAACTCCTGATCTCTCGAAACCCTTGATCCCTCGAAGTCAAAATGCAGTCCCGCTGTGCTATGAATTTTACCCTTGATACCTCGAAGTGGCTGTGTGTATACCAAGTTATATTATTATACCTCATTATAAATATTCTACACAACGCGTTATCTGATTGGTTCTAGGTTATCATGTGATCGGGCCGTAAAACTTCATATTTCCCATCGTTGGCACGCTTTTCATCATATTCCACCTCTTCGGAACACTTAGTGAATTTTCCCGCAATATAGTTCTCGTTCGTTGAACGAAAACTACCGAGAGTAGTAGACGTCACAATAGCCTGGTTTACGTCACAAAACTGATGACAATGTGTTGACCAAAGGGTTTTATAGTAACTTTACGTTAACAATGGTGTGAATTAGAGAGCTGTGCCAAACTTGAAAGTTTATCTTTATTTCAAAGTTTGTTCTTTTTTTGGTATAATAAACAATTCATTGCATGAATGTTCGGGAAACATGAAGACTTATTCAGCCAAGAAATAACATATTCCCCTCGGGCGAAGCCCTCAGGGAATATGATTTTTCTTGGCTGAATAAGTCTTCATATTTCCCTCACTCTCATGCAATAAATGTATAATGTTCAAACTTTTGCCATAACTGTATATCTGTGTGTCTGTCTGAGTGTCTGTTGTCAACTTAAACCTTCACCATAACTTTAGAACTATACGAGATAGTGGCTTCATATTTAGTATGCATACTCCACTAATGAAGTGCTTTCAAATGGCAACAAGGACAATGATTATGTCATCTTGACTGTGACATGTATGCTGAAAAAAATTGCACTTTTGAACTTTGTTGCTGTGTTTCACAAGCGCATCTTGTTTTTAGCTCTACTTGTCAGAGACCAGAAGAGCTTATGCAATAGTAATGCGTCCGGCGTCCGTCCGTCTGTCTGTCCGTCTGTCTGCAAACACTACTCCTCCTTAAATTTTAGTCTGATTTCAATATAACTTGGCACACAAGTAGACTATACATAATTCTGTGCATTAGTCTTTGATAAGTACAAACCAGTAGAGCTACAGTCTCGACAGAGACTTCTGGTAATTTTTTCTTCCATCCCAGTTGTTGCTAATGCTATTACATAATTAGTTTAAATTAGAATGCAATAGTACCTGGACATAATTTATCATTTCAGAAAGAAGAAAACTGTGTGACGTTAAAAGAAAACCAGTGAGATAAAATCATAGAAAATGTATGATGATTCAGGATGTGGTCATTTGGTAAGTGGTAATTCATTCATGATTAGTATGTATATGACAATTGCCTGAAAAAAAAAAGATTCTAAATTTTATTTAGATACTGAACTGTGGTATATCAGCTGTGAGCTACAAGAAGTTTTATGTAAAAGCTAGGGCTGAAACAATTTGTCCCCTCCATGTTATGTGTGTATTGCTATGATTGACATACAATCAGTTCTCTAATACATACACTTCAATAAAACTTGTGTGTCTGTCTGTCTGTCCGTCTGTCTGTCCGTCCGTCTGTCTGTCCGTCTGTCTGTCCGTCTGTGTGTCCGTCCGAAACAAAATTTCGTCGCAGTTTTCTCAGCAACTACTCATTGTAGATGCTTGAAATTTTAACACAATCTCCTCTGAGGCATGCCATATGGTGGGATACATTTTCGTTTAAATCCGATATCGACTTCCTGTTTGTCAGTGCGTCTGTCCGTTTCATACATCACAAATTTTCGTCGCAGTTTTCTCAGCAACTACTCATCGTAGATGCTTGAAATTTTAACACAATTTTCCCTGAGACATGCCATATGGTGGGATACATTTTCGCTTAAATCTGATGTCAACTTCCTGTTTGTCTGTGCATATGTCCGTTTCATACACCACAAATTTTCGTCGCAGTTTTCTCAGCAACTACTCATCGTAGATGCTTGAAATTTTAACATAATCTTCTATGAGACATGTCATATGGTGGGATACATTTTCGTTTAAATCCGATGTTGACTTCCTGTTTGTCTGTGCGTCTGTCCGTTTCATACATAACAAATTTTTGTCGAAGTTTACTCAGCAACTACTCATTGTAAATGATTGAAATTTTATCATAATATTCTCTCAGGCATGTTTTATGTTGGGATACATTTTCGTTCAAATCCGATGTCAACTTCCTGTTTGTCTGTGCATCTGTCTGTTTCATACATTACAAATTTTATTCGCAATTTTCTCTGCAATTACTCATTGTAGATGCTTGAAATTTTAACACAATCTTCTCTATGGCATGCCATATGTTGGGATACACTTTTTTCAAATTGGATATCAACTTCCTGTTTGTGTGTGCGTCTGTCTGTTTCACAAATAACAAATTTTCGTCGCAGTTTTCTCATTAGCTATTCATAGCGGATGCTTCAAATTTTATTGCTTTCTTTGTTTAGGCATGCCACATGGTTTGATTCATTTTGATATGAATCTGATGTCAACTTCATATTTTTTTGTGCATTTACATCAGAGCGGGGGTATTACTAGTGAGCATTGGCTCACAGATTTCTTGTTTTCTCTCCAAGGAATAATTTCTGCAAGTCACTAAGTTTTTAGAGTTTCCATTATTAGCTCACCTGAGCTGAAGGCTCAAGTGAGCTTTTCTGATCAAAATTTGTCCGTCGTCTGTCGTCGTTGTTGTTGTTGTCGTCGTCGTTAACTTTTCACATTTTCATCTTCTCCTCAAGAACAACTGGGCCAATTTCAACCAAACTTGGCACAAAGTATCCTTGGGTGAAGGGAATTCAAGTTTGTTCAAATGAAGGGCCATGCCCTTTTCCAAGGGGAGATAATCATGAATTAGAGAAAAATTATTGGCATTTTTAAAAAATCTTCTTCTCAAGAACCACTGGGCCAGGAAAGATGAAACTCATGTGGAATCATCCTCAGGTAGTGTAGATTTTAGTTTGTTCATGTCATGACCCCCGGGGGTAGGGCGGGGCCAAAATAGCAGATCAAAGTTTTACATAGGAATATATAGGAAAAATCTTTAAAAAATCTTCTTCTCAAGAACCATTGAAACAGGAAAGATGAAACTCATGTGAAATTATCCTCAGGTAGTGTAGATTCAAGTTTGTTCAAGTCATGACCCTGGGGTAAGGGTGTGGCAAAAATGGCCAACCTCAGTTTTACATAGAAATATATAGGGAAACCTTTTTAAATCTTCTTTCAAGTACTTCAAAGCCAGGATTAGTAATATTTATATGAAATCATCCTCAGGTAATGTAGATTCTAGTTCGTTCAAATTGATCCCCTTAATTCGTTCAAAATGACCCCCCCCCCCTCAGTAAACTTTCAGTTCTGATCTGATATGTGTTTTTTCCGAGCTGATGTGCTCAGGTGAGCGCTGTGGCCCCTGGGCCTCTTGTTTTATAGATATTCAATGAAATTATTTGAAGTATTAAATTTTGGTAAATTTTATGATACTAAAAGGTTATATGGATGAAAAAACAGCATGCGTGTATGACAATCAGGGCTTATGTGATATGTGTTTTTTCCGAGCTGATGTGCTCAGGTGAGCGCTGTGGCCCCTGGGCCTCTTGTTTTATAGATATTCAATGAAATTATTTGAAGTATTAAATTTTGGTAAATTTTATGATACTAAAAGGTTATATGGATGAAAAAACAGCATGCGTGTATGACAATCAGGGCTTAAATTTTTAATGTCTCTTAATTTTTCAGTGACATTAAAACAGGAATTGTCATCACCAATAGACGAATTTCACATTCCTAAGAGTTTTCTCCAATTGTCGGCGTATCGCTCATTTTTCCCACTTTGTCCTTTGTAAGTTACTTGTTAATATATGTTCAATCTTCAAAAATATTGGACAATTACGATATGTATCTTATTGCCAGAGTATGGGGGCAATATGAAAATCATAATGAATATGTTCATACAGATTTATTATTTTTAAGATATTGTCCCTCAACGTTGATACGGTTAAAGAGGGAAAACAGCGTCTTAAGCCGGTTGACCCCAGATCAACCCTGGGAAGGGGAATAACTTTTGTAAATGTGAAAGTCCTTTATGGTATATCATATAGATCTAAAACTGACTGAATTTTGATCAGCCAATTCATGAACATGATGAATGGATGTAAATAATGTTGGTCAATATGTGTAAAAAAAAATAAATAAATAACTTGTTTATATATACATTTGTGGTATCTCTCCCATTGAAGTTTATAAACTTGTTATTTATTTCTTAAATAAACTGAGCATACATGCAATATCGGTATAAAATTACTCATAAAATACATGTATACTTAAACCATGATAAAATCATATGTGTCCAATGCAGCATATGATAAATCAGTAACATACAAGTACATGTGTATATATATACTGTAATACATATATATTGCATTATTTTTAGGTCCTGTTCTGTGGATGCCCTAAGACAGTGTCTACCCATCACTCCATCTGATATCACTTGTTCTGTGCATATTTCTCTCTCAAACTTAAACTACAGAGAGCCTATGGATAGAGGATGAAGAGTGACCTTGGACTACTTTTGTAGGTCAAAGGTCAGTATCAAAATGTACTGTATATTATTTAAAATCGTAGTCCAGAGTATATTTCTCCCCTGGTGTAATCTAGCTTTTGTGTAATGGGATGGAGGGTCTGCAATGATCTTCAACAAGTTTATAGGTCGAATATCAAAATTAAAAAAAAAATCTCTCCCCAATATTTTTGTTATTATAAAGGGTATGTTTTCTCTCAAACTAATCAAACTTAAAGCAGGGTTCTTTGTATGAGATACATGTAGTTATATATTCTCAATGACACAATAAGGCTGAAAACATTATTTATATTATGTTTTTTTTTTTTTTTTTTCACTTATCATAAAGCATTAAGAATTAAAGGACATTGACTGATCTTTCAGATTTCTAAGTTATATTCAAGCATTATAATTCTGACATCATATAATAATTTTGTATGAATATTGCAGATCATAGGTGATGTGAAGAAAACCAGGAAACTGATGTTGAAAGAAGTACTTAATGACCCTTATGAATGGACTTAAATGTGAAAGACTGTTCAATTGTTTATCTAAGATATATGAATTTATTTAATATTTTGATATCATTGAAAAATTCAGTTACAGTTTTTGTACATCAAATGAATTATTAAACATATAAAATGGTAATGCTTTTTTCTTTTACATGTAATAAATTTTTTTTGATAGATTTTTAAAAGAATACGCATTATTTCACATTGCTTCCTTTAGAAAAGTTGGGGAATCTTGAAGTTTCCCAGTAATTTCCACCAGGAATGGGACTCCAGATAATTCCACCAAGTTTCCGCCACACAGAAAGTGCTACACAAGCTCCATATAGTTTCCTGAGTCAAGGAAACTTCAGGAATCATAAGGTTTCACGAGCTTCCATGTAGTTTCCCATAAAAGAAAACCTTAAGATTCCATCAAGTTTCCATTCCACGGAAACCACTACGCTCATATTCCATATGGTTTCCTGAGTCGAGGAAACTTTAGGAATCGTGAGGTTTCCCGAGCTTCCATGTAGTTTCCCGTATAAGGAAACCTAAAGATTCCATCAAGTTTCCATTCCACGGAAACCACTACGCTCCGATTCCATATGGTTTCCTGAGTCAAGGAAACTTTAGGAATCATGAGGTTTCCCGAGCTTCCATGTAGTTTCCCGTATAAGGAAACCTAAAGATTCCACCAAGTTTCCATTCCACGGAAACCCCCTACGCTCCGATTCCATCAAGTTTCCTGATTCTGGAAACCAGTGGAATCTTCAGGTTTCCCATTACGGGAAACTACATGGATGTTCGGGAAACTTCAGGTTTACAGAGGTTTCCGTGGTTCGGGATACCTTATGGAATCGGAGCGTAGGGGGTTTCCGTGTCACGGAAACTTGGCGGAATAACCTAGCATCCGCTACGGAAACCACTGGGAAACATGATGTAAACTTGAGGTTTCCATGTGGTTTCCATAAAGTTTCCCATGATGGGAAACCACTTTTTTCACCCAGTGCAACCCTTTTCTGAAGAATGATGCTTAGACTGTAAGCTACAACAAAGACCTAAACACTGTAGCTGGCAATATGCAATAGCTACCACGGGCAGTTTAAAACCCGGGGGAGGAAAATAATTTACAGACAGATACTTTTGAAACGAATACATAATTATCTCACCAGCATGTCATTGTGCAACAAAGTCGTCAGCATTTTATTTGTCCTTTGAACGGGTGAAACGTTTTGAATGGCACTCTTATCGATGAATTTTACACTAAACCAAGCTATCTTCTCAGACCTGTCACCTAGCTTTATTTACCCGCGGTTTCATCGTAAAAGCGGAAGTGCGAGTTCGTAAATTTGAAATCTCGATCCCGACTCAAATTTGACATCGGAAAGAAAAAAATTGTTGTATTTTTTTCTGAAAATTCAAAACCTTGAGCGGAGGGTTTATAAAACTGAAAATAAAATAAATCCTGGCCTTAAATATGTAATTAGATCATTAGCATATTAACCAGGAGCAAAGGATAAGATGTTCAAAGAATTCATGCATTTCACTATATAATCATTAGAGCCCCACCCTAAAACAAGAACCCCTGACCCTGGGGCCATAAAATTCACAATTTTGGTAGAGGCACTCTTGCTCATCATAACTATGTACGAGAACCGTTCAAAAATTACGCGGACTGTGCTATTATTTACTCTTACAGACGTCATAGAGTTATGAAATTTCACAGAAATATGTATCTCAAAGATTCCAATAAATTTTGGGTAAGAATTCTGTATTTTAAAAAAATTCTACTAAAATTATCGGTATATTGATATCGCTGATAGAGAGGTACGGAGCACGACAACAAATTTGAAGCAAAGGTATTTGGAATCCAAAATTTAACTAATTTATTTTCTATAATTCGCAATATTTTTCGACAATTTTCTCAAATGTATCTTTAAATTGTTCTATTATTATGTATTTGGATTTCTGGTGTGATATTTGAAGTACTAACAGAAATATAGTGATTTTCCTCTGATGCGATTCCCGTGAAAACGACTGTGAAAATGACGTCTCGTGAATTGACGGCGCACCACACTTTGGTTTAATTATGTGTAATGCTCTAGATATCGCCAAATTAGATCCAAAATATGCATAATAAAACATGTAGTAAACAAGGGTATTCGTGACATTCGTCCACAAATAGCAAATAGGAATTTTAGACCTCTGAAAAATGCCTATAGGGGAGGACGGGAAGAAGATTATAGACGAAAACTTTATCCGAAGTGTAAAGAACGTGATTGAGAGTCACCAATATCACACTATATCTCATAAATACCTTCCTTTTTGGTTTTAAAACAAAAAAAGAATATTCTTTACTTTTTTAATAGATTTTAAGATTGACAAGAAATGGTGTTTGGATGTTGAGTAGATAAGATAACTTAAAACTGTACAGGTACTTTTGGGAAAATGTTGTGAAAATGAAAGCACAATTACCAATTTTTTTTATGATGTATGTGAGTGACGTCGTAGATATTGCTGCTCCGTGACTTAATGACATGGCCTGAAAAATCACTCAAAATTGATACCAATTTACAGCATTTTGATATGAAATTTTGTAGACCATATAGGTAAAGATTCTTTTATATTATGTGCGACATTTTGCCCGATTATGTCGTCAAATATTTTTTCTGTGCAGCAAGTCCGCGTTATTTTTGAACGGCCCTCGTACTTAGTTAGTTTATTTAATACCCAGGAGCAGAGAAGAAGATTTTCAAAGAATTCATGTATTTTCACTATATAATCAATAGAGCCCCGCCCTAACACCAGAACCCCTGAACCTGGGGTCATAAAATTCACAATTTTGGTAGAGGCACTCTTGCTCATCATAACTATGTACTTTATAGGTTTATTTAATACCCAGGAGCAGAGAAGAAGATTTTCAAAGAAATAATGCATTTTCACTACCTACTTATTTAGCCCCGCCTTAGCACTAGAACCCCTGACCCCAGGGCCATGAATTTCACAATTTTGGTAGAGGACTCATTGCTGATTACAATCATGCAAACAGTTTGACTGCTTGACGTCCAGGAGTAGAGAAGAATATTTTTAAAGATTGCATTAATTTTAGTGGTTTTGGCCCCACCCCTCAGGCCCCAGGGGCACAGAGACCATGAAATTCACAATTTTTGTTCCCCTTCACCCACAGATGCTGTATACAAAATTTGGTTGAAATTGGTTTAGCGGTTTCAGAGAAGAAGCGGAAAATGTTCAAATGTTAACACACGACGGACGACGGACGACGGACGCCGACGGACAAACACGGATGGCAATAGGTCACCTGAGTGACTCAGGTGACCTAATAAAAAACAATCACGCATACAATTTATAAAATTGTTTTAGTGATAAAATTTCACCACAAGTAGCATCGCAAAAGGAAATCATTCCGTACACCATTCCGTAAGAAGTATTTACTGTACTTTTATCAGCACGGAGAGATAGAGAGAGAGTTTGATATTTGATATGGATTTAGCATTGTTTAGGGAGGGAGTACATGTACATTCCCAAGATCCTCACCAGAACTCTCTTTCCAAAACAAAAACAAAAACCAAAAAAAAACTAGTGTGATAATTGAGAAATTCTTTGTGTTAACTTTTAGAACTGTTTATTTTGTATCAAAAAGACAACTCGGACAAGAGCAACATTCCGGAATTAATATCCACTTGAAGTCTTTTTTAATTACCTTTTATGAAACTAAAGCGCCGTTTTAAATGTAAATTTTTGCAAGTTATGTACCACAAAGATAACAAAATATGGGTTAAGTTTAAAATAATTACGATTTGAGTTAATAAGATAAAGTTAGAGGGGTCCGAAAAAGGGGTCACGGCACTATGCTTAAATGGAAACATTTTTTTTTTTTTACAACTTAATCTGTAAATTATGCAAGCTCACTTGATAACAAATTCTTAAAAAGAATAATAATCGAGAAAATGGATATACTTTTATAAAATACACCTTAGTACATCCGAATTTTTAGTGAAATTCATCATTGCAAACAAAATATGTTTCTCAACGAAGGGCAAGTAGCACTTCGATAGATCTGAGAAGTTGTTTTCCCTGTTTATTTTCACCAAATGTTAAGAGTTGAAACCGAAAGTACAATGCAAATGGCGGATTTTATCAGGGTATATAACATGTATAATGTTCTCAATAACAGCCTTTCAGAGACCATTTACGTCCAACTTGCCGATAAACATAATATTCTTCTACAATGATGGTTTTCACTAAAAGTACAGCATTCAACAGGTGCACTTTTTTTAGATATGCCAAATTTTTTGTTTTTTTCTCCAAAAAAATATTTTTAAAAATATTTTTTCAAATGATACATTTTATCTGTTAATCAATGGTATATTTATACACTGTAAGAGCTATTGTAAAAATATATTTTTTAGATATGCTGACTTTTGGTGAAACCTTTAAGGTTTCGTCAAAGGTCAACATGTCCAAAAATTTATTTTTATAATAGCCCCAAAACTGTGTGAGGTATAAAGTTAAAACTTTTACAGTTAATAAATTTTTCATTAATTATCAAATAGAAAGTATCACTTGATAAAAAAAAAAAACTTAGAATGATATTAATTAAGAAACATTCTTCTTAAAAATGCATATATTTTCAAAAAATACATCTAATTAATTCTGTGCTCTTAGTGAAAACCATCGTTGCAGAAACACAATATGTTTATCAATGAACGGCAAGTTGGACTTGGATAGCCTCTGGAAAGTTGTTTTCCCTGTTTATTATGTCCAAATTTTAAGACTTGAAAGTGAAAGTACATTGCAAATGGCCGATTCTATAGGGGTCTTGTCTTTATGCATGTCAGGCTTTCAATAACAGCCTTTCAGAGACCATTCACGTCCAACTTGCCCTTCAATGATCAATATATATTATTTCTACCATGTTGGTTTTCACAAAAAGGACAGAATTTTCTTTAAATATGCACATTTTCTGATAAAATTTTTCTCAAAAAATATCTTTTTAAAAATATTTATCAAGTGATACTTTCTATCTATTAATCAATGATATATTTATAAACGTTTTGACTTTATGCCACACATAGTTTTGGAGCTATTGTAAAAATAATTTTTTTTGACATGTTGACATTTGACGAAACCTTAATA